CCAAAAAAACCCACCACAATCAAAAAATGTGCAGAAGCCCTAAATAGACAGTTCTCTAAAGAAGACATACAGATGGCCAAAAAGCACATGGAAAGATCCTCAACATCGCTAATTATTAGAGGAATGCAAATCAAAACTACAACGAGGTATCACCTCACACCGGTCAGAATGGCCATCATCAAAAAGTCTACAAACAATAAATGCTGGAGAGGGTGTGGAGAAAAGAGAACCCTCCTACACTGTTGGTGGGAATGTAAATTGGTACAATTACTATGGAGAACAGTATGGAGGTCCCTTAAAAAACTAAAAATAGAACTAACATATGACCCAGCAATCCCACATCCTAGGCATATATCCAGAGAGAACCATAACTCGAAAAGATACATGCACCCCAATGTTCATTGCAGCACTGTTTACAATTCCCAGGACATGGAAACAACCAATATATCCATCAACAGATGAATGAATAAAGATGTGATGTGTATACACACACACACACACACACACACACACACACACACACACACTGGAATACCACTCAGACACAATAAAGAATGAAATAATGCCATTTGCAGCAACATGGATGGACCTAGAGATGATCAAGTAAGTCAGACAGAGAAAGACAAATATCATATGATATCACTTCTATGTGGAATCTAAAAAGATGATACAAATGAACTTATTTACAAAACAGAAACAGACTCACAGACTTCAAAAACAAACATGGTTACCAAAGGGGAAAGGTCTAGGAGAGGGATAAATTAGGAGTTTGGTATTAACATATACACACTACTATATATAAAACAGGTAATCAACAAGGACCTACTATATAGTACAGGGAACTCTACTCAATGTTCTATAATAACCTATATGGGAAAAGAACCTAAAAAAGAATTGATACATGTATACGTATAACTGAACCACTTCACTACACACCTGAAACTAACACAACACTGTAAATCAACTATACTCCAATATAAAATAAAAGCTAAATTTAAAACAATAAAAAATATATATCTTCATTTTAAAAAATCAACTGTTATTTATCATTATCTAATATTATTTTTATAATTTCACTAATATAATCTCAAATGATAATTCTTTTAAACAGATACATATATAGTCATATATACAATGGGCAATAATTTCTAGAGTCATAAAAGTGTTGATGCAAAGTCCTCAACAACTTCATACACATTCTAAAAGCAGTCACATATCAAATAAAAGCGTACATTAGACTGTGCAATAAGCTGCCAAAGACTTATTTTAAGCAAATCATACGTCAAGAGTCACATGCTTTCAACCTAGATAAAGTTGCAAAATTGGAAACAATGCTTCTAACACTCTGAGGCTCAGTCTTTGAAAAACTGTCTTTGCTGTTTTGAACCTGCTTTTGGAAGGCAAAGGGCATAAAAATATATAAAGGGTTATCAGGAAGTTATTTCATATAAGAACACTAAATACGCAGCATGTATAACCAGCAAATTTAAGAAATCAGTTTGGTCATTAGGAAAATACAAATTAAAGCCACAATGAGATACTACTTAACATCGACTAAAATGGCTATAATAAAAAAGACATTAACAATTATCAATGAGAATACTGAGAAATCGGAACCTTCACACTCTGCTGGTTAGAATGTAAAAAGGTGCAACAGCTCTGGAAAACAGCTTGCAATTTCTTAAAGCAATAAACATAAACTTGTCATACAACCCAGTGGTTCCACTTCTAGGAATCTACCCAAGAGAAATGAAAACATCTGCCCACACAAAGCCTGGTATGTGGACATTCATAGCAGCATTGTCCATAACAAGCAAACATGGCAAACCCAAATGTCCGCCATGGAATGCTATTCAGCAATAAAAAGGAAAAAAATACTAATACATCCTGCAATATGGATAAACCTCAAAAACATACAAAGTAAAAGAAGCCAGAAGCAAAAGACTATGTAATGTATCATTCATTTACATAAAATATCCAGAAAAAGCAGCAAAATAAATTTCTAACTACATCACCGTTTATTGAGCACCGGTATATTCCAGTACTTTATATCTTAAGGGAAAAACTTACTGGCAACTTCAACATCAATGACTATCACCTTGTCTTATATTTCCAAATTTTACTTGATACAGTTTCAACCAAAGAAATATATCAGGTGTGACACTCAACAGTGCTCAGGATTTGTCTAGTTTATATGCAGTTACATGCTTTGTTAATCTCTCTCCTGCTGCTTTACTTGGTCCATTTTAATTCTCAGTATCCCCACTCAAAATGAGAAAGGGAGGAAAACATAATTGTCAAACTCTGTAATACAGCAATTAATGGTGATAAAAGCTTAAATAACAAAATACTTTTTAAAAATGTGTACTTCAGTGATCCATGGAACCAGGAGTTGGCTATAAAAAACAAGATTCATTCTAATTTCTCCCAACTCCCTTAAGGAATACAGAAAAAGATACTTTGTCCCAGGGACTCAAGAAGTTAAGAGTTAATATACAGTAGCCTTCTAAGAGCATATGTGTTTGCGCAAGTTTGTTTTCTTCTAAACTCTAAATTCGCTTTGACAATAGGATGACAATTTGTTTTTAGTGTAGTATCCAGGCCCTTTCTGGTAAGTAATTAAAGACATCAAACTATAACCGAGGGGCTTCCCTGGTGGTGTAGTGGTTAAGAATCCGCCTGCCAATGCAGGGGACACAGGTTCATTGTGGTGGCTTCTCTTGTTGCGGAGCACGGGCTCTAGGCGCACGGGCTTCAGTAGCTGTGACATGCGGGCTTCTGTAGTTGTGGATCGCAGGCTCCGCAGTTGTGGCTCGTGGGCTCCAGAGCACAGGCTCGGTAGTTGTGGCGCACGGGCTTAGGTGCTCCATGGCATGTGGGATCTTCCCGGACCAGGGCTCGAATCCGTGTCCCCTGCATTGGCAGGCGATTCTTAACTACTGCGCCACCAGGTAAGCCCCTGTATCAGCCTTAACTGCAAAACTGATGAAGACCTGTTACCCAGAGGTGTAATGACACGCTTTAATCCTGTACATGAGTCCTGTATAAGGTACGTTAACACATACCCATAGAAGTATGTAACTCATAAGTAAATAGACACTTACTGGGTTATGCATTCAACATTTTATCACTGGTAAGATGTACAATCAAAAAAGAGTGGAAACCAGTGTCCTAAGGACTGGACTGGCTAGGGTTACTATTCTGTCCCAGTAGAGTTAAGTAGTCCCACTTTTCTGTTACTCTGTGGTAACTTTGTTCTGAATGAAGCAGCTGAGATACTTTACAGAAAGAATTACTGTTACCAAGAGCAAACCTTTAAGTCCTTTACAGTTTATTAAGCTTTCACATATGCTCTTATCTGATGCCCACGGCCACTTAATATCATTACTAGTTGATCCAATAGTATCCAGTAACAGTTTCTTGGAAGCATTCATAAACAATAGCTGTGTTTATTAGTATAAACAAACATTAGCTCTGAAGCTAATGAGAGGAGAAATATTTTAAAGACTTAAACATTAACCTAAGTCAACTGAGGCACAAAAGAATATGTTTTAGAAGAGTTAACCCTCCACAAAAATCTGGGAAACCACTCATCAAGAATTATTATTCAGGGGCTTCCCTGGTAGCACAGTGGTTAAGAATCCACCTGCCGATGCAGGGGACATGGGTTCGAGCCCTGGTCTGGGAAGATCCCACATGCCGCAGAGCAACTAAGCCCGTGTGCCACAACTACTGAGCCTGCGCTCTAGAGCCCGTGAGCCACAACTACTGAAGCCCACGTGCCACAACTACTTAAGCCCACGTGCCACAACTACTGAAGCCCGTGCACCTACAGCCCGTGCTCCACAACGAGAAGCCTCTGCACTGCAAGGAAGAGTAGCCCCCGTTCTCCACAACTAGAGAAAGCCCACATGCAGCAATGAAGACCCAACGCAGCCAATAAATAAATGAATGAATGAATAAATAAATAAGAATTATTATTCAAAAGGACAGACACTCTCTCTTCCCCTGCCAGCCCCTACCACCTTCAATTCTTTATTTTTTAAAGAGAAGCTTAGGGTATTCCCAGCCTACACTAAGGAATGACTGCCCATCATCTGACTGCCAAGGAGGTTAGGTTAAAGGCTCTCCAATTATTCAGCTGGAGAAAATTAAGGGTAGATTTAACAACTGACTCTAGATGTAGAGTTCCAGTGTATGGAGGAGAGCAACCAGGTGTTTCACCAAAATTAAAAGAGGACGTGAGTTTAAGCTGCCTACTGATAAAATTACTATAGAAAAGCCATGAAAATTTTTCTGACAGTGAAAATTTAGGAGTAAAATGCTTAAGGACCTTTATTAAAAGGGATTTTTTTGTAAACAGGATAATTTCCTATTAAATAAGGTCATTTAAGTATACCGAGAATGCCTGTTAGACATCAGTAATTTGACTTCAGTTCTTCAGAAGTACATATGTATATGCTAACACCACTATCAGTAAATTAATGATTATTTACCTTAAGCCTAAAGAAGCCCATTTTTTATTGAATTGAGGTGCTGATAATGGTAGGTTGTTGGAATTAATAATTCCATGGTAGAGAGCAGCAGGTATTACATCAGAAGTGTCAAAGCAATAGAGGAAATATTACTTGATGGCCACACATCTGTCTAGCAAGTCCTTTACTTTTTCTAGGTTAAAGACATACGCTAATCTGTGCAACTGGTTTAAGTGCCACGGCAACAGGTACATTTACAAATGATAAATTAAATAAAACCCTGGCTGCCTCAGAAACAATAAGCCACAAGTTAACATTTAAAAGTCCAAATAAAAGACAGCCATTTCCCCACTTTTGTTACAGATCTGACAATTTTTTAAAAGAGCTCAGGAAATCTGAATGTATTAGAACTATAAGAACCAAGAATGACTGAGACATAAATTCTGGAATAAGTCCTATTTTAAAGCTTTTGCTATATCAACACTTTGAAAGGAGCAGTCAAGGAAGGTTTAATTCTCACATTACCATTGGAGCGGACGGTGGATTTGATGACTGCCCTTCACTGTTCCCTGGATGCTGGGTTAACCCATTAGGACTAGAAGGCTGTGCTGTAGGAAGCTGGGTGCTGGCTGCAAGTTGCTGAGATAATTCTGCTTTGTGGCTCTTATCTGATCCATCCAATCTGCTACTCCTCTCTATGGCAATCAGGTCACGAATTTTTTGCAGCTGCTCCACTGAAGCTTTTTTAGGAAAGATAAGATGGGTTTCTCCCTGGAATTTATAAAATTAGGGAAAATTTTAACCTTTGCTTTATACTGACAGTCATTCTTACACAGTATATATAAAATGGAGCCAATACTACAGAACACATCATATTTTAACAATCTTTCTCTTTTCTTACCATTTTGGCACTTTTTAAAAAAATACAGGCAAAGGTATACTAGAAAATTAAGAAAATATGTCTCCTTGTTAGCATAAAATGTTTAGCCTGTTTTATTCGTTCAAAAGACCTTCAGAAAAATACTTTACCTTTTAGAAACACTGTAATGAGTCAGAAAGCCTCCTAAGAGATGCAAAAATGAACATTCCTATCTTCTCTGCAATAGTATATGATACAACTATTCTCCATGAAATTCCCTATGAAATAATGATACTATAGATACAGCCATTCAAAATGATCACTGGTCACATAAAACCAGTAAGAAGTTATGTAACAACCTTTGAATCTTCTAAACTCAAGTCTTTAAGAATAGCCACATGACTAGAAGTCTGTGTATGGAGTTCACTAATTCTTCCAAGATAACAAAAATTACATCCTGAGGGTCAATTCAAAACTATGGAAAAACTATTGCTATTTAGTAATACAAAGGTGGTCCAAACAAAAACAGACCATCAAACAATAAAAATCTGATTCTTTAAGAAGTGATTCATTTAATGAATCCACATAATATAATCAGAGCGCTCTGGGGTACAGTAAACATTACAACAAAGCTCACAATGTAAAATAGTAAATTACAAAACAAACAAAAAAGTGAAATGAAAATATATTCCATCAAGGTTTAAGGGTTGAGAAGCAACAATGCTAAAACAGTAATTCCACCAACTGCAGATGAGATAACACAGTTGTTACAATATGCAGTGGGCCAACCTGTAGATCGTGAGCATTTAAATTCAACTCCACAACTGAGAATGACCTTATTTCCCTGGTGATGGCAGATCTACAGGAATCAACTGACCAAGACATTACTCCACCACGACATGAAAATCAATTCCACGTGAATCCTTTTGAAAAAGCTGGAAGAGGCCAGCAATCTCCATGTATTACCCAAAACAGCTGTAAAAAAAGACTACTACCATTTACTGCATTTATGTGTTTCTAGGTACCGTGCTAAAAAGCACTTTACCCACATTATCTGAAGAATTCTTAACAACCACCTTGAAAGGTAGGTATTGGGTTTATCCCCGCTTTTCATATGGAAATATGAAGGCTCAGAGAAGTTAAATAACCTACCTGCCTGACGCTACCAACCGTCAGAGCAAGGATTCAAACTGCATGACCTTAATCGCTATGCTATAACTGATTCCACCTGAGACTGAACAGAGATCAAAACCCACAAGCCTGTACAAATAGCTTGAAGGGTTGAGCAAAAAGCATTTCTACAGTTGTGATGATTACATACACAATGATTGGCACAAATCGGAACGCAGTGAATTTTCCAACAGGAGAAAGGAACCACTTCCTATCTATGATGAGCTCTGGGAAGAGAAACCAGACTCCTGGGTTAAAACCAAGCATGGAGGCCTCTGATCTCACACTGTGAATGGAGCTGCACTGAGGGAGGTACACGACACCGTGGCCGGAGGCGGGAGAGCCTGACAGCCATGTGGGTCTGTCTGGTCCACACCCCAGAGAGGGCCCCGGTGAGACAGAGGCTGCTCCCTTCCCTTCCATCTTTTCAGGGCCAGTCCTAAAAGAATGTATGATTATGACTGAAGTGTCTGTACGAAAAAGTTTAATCGACAGCACTGTATTTTCATAAAAGGACAAAACTACAGGCTTAATGCACTAGACCCAATAACATTTTAAGAAACCAACAAGGATTCTAGTATTTAACAAAATCTATGTTTCTCAATGCATTCTTGGTGAGACAGTTCTCACTGCCAGATGTGAGTCAGCCCCGTCCCTGCTCGCTAAATGCTGGTGACATCTTCCAGTCACCAAGACAACCAAAACTACGGCCCTTGATGCCCCATCCTCCCCGAGGGTGGGGGCAGCTCCCAGCAAGGACTACTCCACTAAGCCAGCCTGATGGGTCACACGACCATTTGAATCCCAATCTTTCTCAACCTCCTCCTCAGAATTTTCATAAACAAGAATGCAGCCTCAGGGACAAGTGGGCGCAAAGGTGTCCAGGATTTTAATGTGCAACTGAAAATTTCAGGATAGGTCTTGGATTCCTACTTCATCTCAAAGCCCACCAAGTTTCTTTCTGGTGGTAGAGTTCAGTCTCAGCTCCGTTGGCTAACACTGATAAAACATTTACTTCCTACTGTGTGAAGTCCAAAGCCAGCCAGAAACTCTAAGTATAAATTAGTCTTAAAGCATGATCATCTTTTCTGAAATTGTGACTCTACTTGCATCAAATACTACTGCAAGTCTCAATCTGGCTTGTTACCTGGCACTGGCGTGACCAACTTACAAGTCTGTCTGGGACTGAGGGGTTTTCTGCGGGGCTGGACTTTCACTGCTAAAACCAGGACAGTCTCTGGCAAACTAGAGCAGTTGGTCATCCCTCCTGGCACTCAAGTATTTGCTGAATGAAAGATAAATATGATTCCACCGAATCTGTGACACTTCAACAATGAGAAACAATGAGAAACTGAAGCACTTCAACAGTCTCCAGTTGTCATTTACTTAATTTTCCTGTCATTTGACTCTCAAAAATCTGCATTTCCTTGAACAAATTCATCAATGTTCTCAATTTTCCCCATCTATAGTTTTAAATTCTTTAGGTTCAGATGTCTGTGAGCAACTACAAGCAGATGACACCATAATTTATACCTCCACCCTGGCCTCTCCTTTTGAATCATCAAAGACTCATATATCCCACTCTCTCCTTGACACCTCTACTTGAATATTTAACAGTATATCAGTTATAATTATCCAAAAGATGGGTCGTTTTTTTCTCCCTTGATACCTGCTACTCTCCAAGATTTTTCAACCTCGATGAATGGTACTCCCATCCACTCAGTTGCTCAAACCAAAACCCAGACGTCACCCTGATTCCTTCCTTTCCCTTACATTCCACATCTAGTTCATCGGCAAGTCCCACAGACTGCTTCAAAAAGAAATCCTGGATCCCACTACTCCCCCATCTCCACTGCTGTCGGTCTTTACTTCCACAAATATTTACTGGGTGCCCACCTGCTCTGCTCCTTTCCCAGCAGCCAGCACACGGGGAGCAACACAGACACAAAGCCTGTCCTCATGGAATCTAGACAAACCACTACCATTTCTCATCGAGACTAACGTGATAAGCTTTATAACCAGCCTCACTGCTTTACCCCTTGCCCCCACCCAGAACATCCAGGATATTCTCTTTCCAACAGCCAGAGCAATCTTCAAAAATACTCTTCCCTGCTTAAAACCTTTCAATGGCTTCCCATCCCACTCGTCATAAAGTCCAATCTTTACCGCAGTTCCCCAAACCCCAGGCCTGCCTCTGTGGCCACTTTCTGTGCCAAGGCTACTCCTGCTAGAGATCCTCCACACGTGTGGATCTTTGTGCCTGAAAAACCCTCACCTGAGGGCGTCAGGTATTTGAATTGCTTCTCATCACTCAGGTCCCAGCTCAAACATGATCTCCTCAGGGGCCTCCCCTGAGCGCTCGTCCTTACACAGCTGCCCATCACTACAGTTGCTTATGATGTTCTTTCCATGCCTTATTTTCTTCTTCGTGCTCATCTTTGCTTTCACACCTACTGTCTGTCTAACCTTCAGGAATGCAAGCTCCATGTGAGATGGGAGCTCTTATCTAACTAGTTCACCACTATATTCCCAAGGCCTGAAACAGAATCAAGGGAGGGAAGCAGAGAGGCGGGGGGGAAAGTACATCCCAGAGCAACTCAGCATATCTCCTTAACGGCTGCTACGGCCTTGCCAGTTGACTGCTACTGACTGCTTGGCCTCTAGAACCTGGCTGGACTTCTCTCAGTATTCCATAAACTAGAAATGGTTAAGCATATATGCATAAAGAAAACTCATCATCTTGAAAGCTACTTTCATTGTGTCATAAAATTAAACTATGCCACAAGATTCCACAACATGGAAACACCAAGCTTTTCTTTTGACCTAAAAACAAAAAAACCCACTGAGATTCTTTTCTCCTGTCAAGGAAGGGAACCCTTATGCGTGGTAACTAAACTCAACTTTTCTGTTTTTACTCTTCTCATTTCTTACTGGAGACAGGTGGTTGGACCCCCATCAGCAATTCATGTTTGCTCACATAGCAGGTTTTTGCTAAAAGTCTAAAGAGAACCACAATTTAGTCCTTGGGTTGCATGCCTGACCTCCCTATTCGAAAGGACTGAGATTGTAAGAATTCTCCCTGGGGGAGAGTTGTTATATTTTACTGTGAATTTAAAGCATATGGACTGTGACTTTTCAATGTAGAGTAAGTGAAGAAATAACTAGTTCCACAGTTTTCCAAAATGAATCAATCAATAAAAATATTCTTATTAGAAATTATCAACATTATAATGAATGCTCTGTACATGAACTGCAGAGAAGAAACCGTGAACATACTTACCTCTTCAAAGCCCATTTCAAATAAACATTCAACAGCTCCTCTGACAGGCAAGAGTCTAGTAGAAAAAGTTGTGTTTCCAATCCGGATAGATCTATATTTTTCATCATTAGGGTTTCTGATTAAAAAAAAAAGTCTGATTATATATAATAATTTACATTTTTCACCATGTTTTTGCATTCTTTTTCACATTTTATACTGGCTATATGCCTACGAGGTAGTAGAGATCCCAGCTTTAAAGAAAGAGGATGCACAGTCTAGAAAGACTGATTTTGTGATTTTTACCTCGTACACACTTACTGCAACATTATTGTTTAACTTCACAGCTGATAATATCAATGCTGACATAAGGGAAACCCATGCGACATTCTATTTCTGTGCTGTTAAAACTAGAGACCTTTATGAGTGTTTAGGTTGCTAAGAAAAAATTCCATGCAAGCTCCAGACAGGGGCAGAAGGTTTTGCCTGTTTTCTTCTGATGGATCTCAGTCATCGAGAATAGCGCCTGATGGACACGTAGATGGTGGTTAATAAATATTTGTGAAACAAATGAATAAAAGAAACTAAGAAGCTATAGACAAATGAATCACAGCTCCTCAAAGACTTTACTTCTGACAAACATGAACCTAGGTATACCTTTACAGTTGCTTGATTTTTCTTTCTTCCCTAGACCAAAGGTTGCTTTTACTATAATTTCTGTTTCAGCTAAAGATATATCTTTGTCACAGCAACTATGGTAATAAAATACAATGAAGATATGAATTTCTTTTACCATGACTAAGATTTTGAATAGTACACATGAGATGAGACCAGCACATGAAAAATCTTTGATTTGAGATTTGTAATAACGTTGATAAATCAGAAAGGCTGTAAAAAGAAAAATCAGAAAATAAAAGGTTAAAGACAATCAAGGTATTATACTCAAAAGGCCTTCTGAACTTAATTCAGGATGATAAGTAGGTTTCATATCTGATACTGACGCCCTTAAAATGGTAGTGGCTTCCATCAGTATGGCATTAAGAAAGACTGAGGCTGTCTCAGGGGTCCACAGAAGCAGTGCTGAGGCTATCAGCCTGGGGTCTGGGATGATGGGGTGGCCAAGTGCTGGCAAATGACCAAACACCTTTGTCCTAAACTTACACATGTTCTCTAGATATGGTGATATAAAAACCAAAACAGGGATTGTTAACTGTGGAAGTTTCAACAAATTTCACATTTGTTTTCCATCAAGCAGTTCCTGTTGCCAAACTGTCATAAATACTACACAAAACTTTTTAAACCTCTTTTAATTTCAAAAATTACACCAGTTTATTACAGAATATTCAGAGACAAAAGCTCCAAAGTAGTGTTACTTAAAATGTCCAGATTGGTGCTGATCTGTAAACACTTTGCTTTTCATCCATGAGGAGTACAGAAATTGAAAGTATTCAGTAATTATTACAGCAATTTGACACTGCCATGAAATTTTCATTGCATTTTACAAAAGTTATAGGTCCACAAAGGATTGGAAATTAAAAATACTGTTCTTTACTGCAGGTCATTTGAAAATCACAGATAACTGAGAAACACAAAGAGATACAGATGCCTTAGTCTTTTATTCTGTGTATCAGATCAGGGTTTCTAAACCTTGGCAATACTGACCTTTGGCCTTTGCTGTGAGGGCTGCCCTGGGCACAGTGAAATGTTTACATCCCTGGCTTCTATACCACACTACATCATAAGCATGCCGCTCTTTCTTACCACTTAAACATTAAACAGTGAACAATCCTACCTTTACCAATGCTAGTTACAGGTAAATGAGGCATCTTTTCACGACACTCAACACATTCCACAGGGTGATAAACACATCAGTACCACCAGGATGGTATATCCCACTGGTGCAGAACTGCTTGAGCTATCTTAGTCTATTTTTTCCCGAGAGTTTCCAGATTTCTACATAATCAAAGTCTTTCACTGGGCTTAATTTTCTAATTTTTCTTCCCTTTTTCACACTAAAAAATTCTTATAAAACTTACATGAGTTGTTCTGATATAGCTTATCATTTTGAGACATGTTTCAAAGGGTCGAAGCAGCTTCTCTGCTACAGGCTTTGTATAGCTTAGATTTTCCTCTCTAGTTTCTAACGAACAATGTTCTATCTTTGTACAACATCTGTGGACCTCACATATCATTTATGTGTTTTTCTCACTCAACGTATATTGCAAATAAAAATTTGAAAAATGGCAATAACATCCAGGTACCCAAATCCCAGCTTCCTCTTTTTAAAGGTGCTGAGCAAAACTTCCCTGGTGGTGCAGTGGTTAAGAATCCACCTGCCAAAGCAGGGGACACGGGTTTGAGCCCTGGTCTGGGAAGATCCCACATGCCACGGAGCAACTGGGCCCGTGAGCCACAACTCCTAAGCCTGCGCGTCTGGAGCCTGTGCTCCGCAACAAGAGGCCGCGACAGTGAGAGGCCTGCGCACCGCGATGAAGAGTGGCCCCCGTTTGCCACAGCTAGAGAAAGCCCCCGCACAGAAACAAAGACCCAACACAGACAAAAATAAATAAATTTATTAAAAAAATTTGAAAAATGGCAATAACATCCAGGTACCCAAATCCTAGCTTCCTCTTTTTAAATGTGCTGAGCAGGACTTCCCTGGTGGCGCAGTGGTTAAAAACCCCCTGCCAATGCAGGGGACACGGGTTCGAGCCCTGATCCGGGAAGATCTCACATGCTGCAGAGCAACTAAGCCCGTGTGCCACAACTACTGAGCCTGCGCTCCACAGCCCACGAGCCACAACTACTGAGTCCATGTGCCACAACTACTTGAAGCCCGCGTGCCTAGAGCCCGTGCTCTGCAACAAGAGAAGACACCGCAATGAGAAGCCCGCGCACCACAATGATGAGCAGCCCCCGCCCGCCGCAGCTTTGAGCAAGCCCGCGCGCAGCAACAAAGACCCAACGCAGCCATAAATAAATGAATGAATGTGTTGAGCAGACCAACCATAGTCTTGAGCACAGACTGATGTGAAAGTCAGCCCCTGAAGCCCTCAAAGGCTTACAGAAGTTGGCCCCAGGGCCATCAGACCTCAGATCCATCAGCTCCCATTTCCTGCCCTTGGAGAAGTGCCATACAAACACTCCTGAACCTCTCGCTTCATAGCATCAGCCTGGAGTGGCCACTCTCCTCGAGCCCATTACTACGCTCAGTATCCTGCGGCGTCTGAAGTACCCCTACGGACCTTTAGTTTTGATCTTCTTCTTCCACTAATTTAATTTTCTGTGCAGACTTTTCTCAGTATTTTTTGCTATAACTCTTCGATTTTTTTTCCCTATTCTGGTGACAATTAACTATTTCTACGACTTTATTATTTATCTTGCTTGTTAGCAATTATCTTGCAACTCTTCGATTTTTTTTTTCCCTATCTCTGGTGACAATTAACTATTTCTACGACTTTATTATTTATCTTGCTTGTTAGCAATTATCTTGCACCTTAGCTTAAGATTTCTTTTTCTGGTTGTTGGATGATGATGTTGAATGAATGAGGTTTGAAAGGGCAGCACAACTTCCTAAACCTCACTCAACCATCACTTTGAACACACTTTGGTGCCTTCCTAGCTGTCTTACCCACAGATAGACAAACTGTTTCATTTACAGAAAATTAGCCTGTGTATTTACAACTGAATAGTAGGAAAAACACCCGCTTTGCACCTCGAAAGTCATAATCTACCATATTTCTAAGATTTTACAACATGTTAATAACAAGCCTCCCACTGAGTCACAGCATTCCTTTTCTCAGAAAAGGAAAGCTTAAATGTTTCTATTTCAGAAATGCTAGGAATTAAATATATCTGAGCATTCACTAGCTCTCTTCCTCTTTAGGACGCATAATCCCAGGAAGAGTTCTCACAAATGGAAATTTAGTACATGAGTGCATCCTAAATCTTGCATTTTTATTACTGATGACAAAAGTTGGTTTGTAGGCCATCTGAAAAACTATTTCTAGTCCTTCTGAAAATCTGTTAGTGCGACTTACATGTAAAATTTTCAGAAACATCTCTCTGCCTTTAGAACATCTGGGAAGCATCTCTGGCTCTAACTCCACCATTCTCTGCAGCTGACAACAAGGGAAACATGTGCACGTAAACTAGCTTAACATGAAAACTGAATGAGACTAACAAACAACACATGTGCCATGTTCTCTATTTCTTTCTATATTTTGCAACAATCTTATAATGTAGGTATTGTTTGTTCCTTTTAAAAATGAGGAAACTGAAGCCCAGTTTACATACATTCTTAGGAAATGGTTGACTGGGACTTAAACCCACTGGTTCGATTACAAATACTCTCCACCATACAAGCTGCCAACAAACTCAGCCATCCTCAGTTGACAACCTTGCTCAGTTTCTCCAGGTGTCAGTAGTAACCCAGATGAGAAATCTCAAGTTATTTCAGGTACAGTATTTTGTCTCCTCCCGTTACCAGCTCTACCCCTGGCACTCAGGCATCAAAGACTGCCAGTCCCTGACTACAATTCTTCTCTCTGTTACATCCACAGTTATGCTTATGCTCTGCAGTAGCTTCAGAAGTGAAACCCATGCCTTGTGTCTTCTCGCATCATTATTCCATGTGAATCTCTCATTATGCTTCTTTTTTGAGTTTAGAAACTACAATTACTTTCTGTTGCCTATCATGTCAAATATACGTTCTCTTACCAAACCTTTGTTCTCAGAACTGTTCCACACTAGGTCATCCAGCTATCTCCTCACATAAATATGTAAGTGCTTAAACATTGGCTTGGAATTAATTGTTCTCTACATTTTATGCTGTGGCTATTTTCCACACCTGTGTCTTTCTCCCAGACGTATTTATTTTCTTTGAAGGAAGAAACCACTTTCCATTCTTGGCCCTTCCCAATCACACCCAATGCAGTTCATAACCAGTAACTGTGTGCAGTTTGCAAAGGAAATTAGTGGGAAATCAAATATTGGTTTTTTTTTTTACATCTTTATTGGAGTATAATTGCTTTACAATGGTGTGACAGTTTCTGCTTTATAACAAAGTGAATCAGTTATACATATACATATGTTCCCATACCTCTTCCCTCTTGCGTCTCCCTCCCTCCCACTCTCCCT